GTTTTTATATTGTATTTTACATTAATGTATGTAGTAAGTTTGTTGTGTAAACCATGGAAATAAATTCAAAATAAATCGGAATAACTGGCTTACTACCAATTCATCAAATACCAAAAGGTCAAGACTTAAAAAATTCAAGCTAAACTTTACACAAGTGTCTTATTAACAGTTACAGCGCTTGAGGGTTAGAAGTACTTCAACTTAAAAAAAAACAAACTTAAATTAATTTTATACTACCAAAAAGGCTAGCACTTCTCACTGACAATATATAACAAGAGCCACCACCTGGTGGGGGCCGGGCTAGTTTTACAGTGTTGACATAGGCCTACCTTTGTTAAAGCTAGTGTCCAGTTTTATTGTACATCTTAACTGTGATAGATACTCATTTAAGTAAAAAAAAATCAATAGATATATTATATTATTAAATTTAACCTTAGAAAGACCTGTGCATGTCTATGGGCTAGAATCAGTTAGGCCTTGTAATAAAATATATACTCTATCTTCACAATGCTGTCATGAATTTGGTCTGATTTCTAAACATAATTAGGAATGTGTAAGTATGCATCGAAGAGTACAACAAGTGTTTATATAATTTCTTTTTCTAACACAGAAGCCTTGCACAAGTGTTATGTAAAAGAGAAGTGATCAGAAACTGAGTGTATTCTAGCAAAAATATAATTTTTGAAGTCACATAGTGACTTTTCAGATTTTTTTAAGGTACAATCAGAAGTTTGAGTAAAACCTATAACCTTCCATAAGCTAACTGTAAAATAGCTTCCTCACATAAAGGATTTAATGTGAATTTCAATTTAAACAAATGAGCCGCGTCACGACAAAACCAACATAGTGCGTTTGCGACAAGCATGGATCCAGACCAGCCTGCACATCCGCACAGTCTGATCAGGATCCATGCTGTTTGCTATCAGTTTCTTTACTTGTTATAGGGTCTGTAAGCGAATAGCATTGATCCTGATCAGACTGCACGGATGCGCAGGCTGGTCTGGATTCATGCTGGTCGCAAACCCATTATGACGGTTTTGTCGTGACACGGCTCAAATGTGTTAGACGGCTTATAAATATATCATGACGTCAAAGTCACAAAAGCATTGGACAACATTTTTACACAGCTCAGTCATGTTTCTCTTGAGTCAAAGACCTGAACTACTCATATAGGCAGTTTAACATACATTGTATGTATCTATATGTAATTAAATACAATATAATGAATTCTAGAATACAGCACATTTGATGGTTAAAGGCACATTATGCTCCAGAAACCAACAAATTTTTACATCATTAGAAAAAGGCAAACATGAATTTTTTAATGTTTGAATAATGGTTTTAAAGATTGTTAAATACTTGTTACCTGAAGAAGGTATGGAAAAATGGGAAACAGTTTGTTGTTAAAGTAGCAAAATGTAAACAAAGTCGTAATTTGACTTCTATATAAAATACTTATTCACTATTCTTATTGCCAAAAAGGAACAGATGAAAAAGTTAGTTCAGGTAATTGATCAATGAGTAACTTTTTGGATACAATAAAAGTACACCAAAGTTAAAAAGCTTTTGAGAAATAAAAACTAGAACTGTGTCCAAAGAATAGATAAATACACAATCCCTAAAGAAAGCCCAACACGGCAAAATTGAAAATGTTGCAGGCTCGGTTTGATTGAGCCTGTTCATGGACGGTACTGGAAAGTGCAAATTACCGTCCACGCCCCCTAGCACCGGCTTAAGCAGAATTCAACATTTAAACGTGAAATAGTAAAATTTTGAATTTAGAAACATCCGCAGATGTGTTCATACGGCGGATTCGGACACGGATGCCCCCACTGACAACTTATATATGGTATATAGTGAAAAAATCAACAAAGGGCCATAATTCTGTTAAATTTGGTCGCAGCAAAAATTCCTTCCTTTACTACCATCTACACATTAAGGTTGTTCATCCCTGGAAGATTAAGCAAAATCTGCCATCCGGTTTAAGAGGAGTTGCGTTCACAAAATTTCTATATGGTATATAGTGAAAAATTCAACAAAGAGCCATAATACTGTTACATTTAGTTGCAGCAAAAATTCCTTCCTTTACTACCATCTACACATTAAGGTTGATCATCCCTGAAAGTTTAAGCAAAATCTGCCATCCGGTTTAAGAGGAGTTGCGTTCACAAAATTTCTATATGGTATATAGTGAAAAAATTAACAAAGGGCCATCATTCTGTTAAATTTGGTCGCAGCAAAAATTCCTTCCTTTACTACCATCTACACATTAAGGTTGATCATCCCTGGAAGTTTAAGCAGTTTAAGAGGAGTTGCGTTCACAAGATTTCGGGACGTACGGACAGACGGACGGACGGACAAGTGCAACGCTATATGCTCCCACTTTGTGGGGGTATAATAAAAGCATTTCTGAGGCATAATGGGCCTTTAACAGAAATGAAAGTACAAAGATATAAATTCAATTGTTGGTCAATGACAATAGTGCACACTTCATCATATACAATTATACAAACATTAGATATAATTAGTTCAATAATACTCTCATATAACCTGGCTTAAATGGCAATACAAAATATAGAGTTGAAGTAGTAATGGTTTGATTAGAGCATCTTGCTGGCATCAACAGGTACATGTAAATAAGTATCTATATATTTAAATAATATCTTCACTAAGGTCTGTAAATGGACCAATACACATAATTAAACAAGCAAATTCGTTGAATTTATATCCCCCGCCGAGTACTGGTTATTATTAACACAACAACTGAAGACATAAGGCTTTATTTATATATTAATCATGGCATAAACAGTAATATTCTTTGAACTTGATAAATATTCAGGGCAATAACAGAGCCATAATTTTGTGTTAAATAGTAAAATCTGGAAATGCCAATGAGATGTATGCATACTACATAACTAATCAAGGGCCATAAATCTGAGTTATAAGTATCTGACCGGGAACAAGGCGACTATATGCACATCTCCTCTTAGTATCCCATAAAGTTTCATTGAATTCAAGCCAGTAGAAGCAGAGAAGTAGCGAGGAAACAAATATTTTTCTATATGGATACTGCATAACTATCCAAGGGCCATAACTCCAAGTTAAAGTGTCTGGCTGGAACAAGCCGACGATATGCGCATCTCCTCTTGGTATTGAAGGTTCCCATAAAGTTTCGTTGAATTCCAGCCAGTAGTTGCAGAGAAGTAGCGCGAAAACGATTTTTACTCTATATGCATACTACATAACTAATCAAGGGCCATAACTCTGAGTTAAAGTGTCTGACCGGAACAAGCCGACGATATGCGCATCTCCTCTTGGTATTGAAGGTTCCCATAAAGTTTCGTTGAATTCCAGCCAGTAGTTGCAGAGAAGTAGCGCGGAAACGATTTTTACTCTATATGCATACTACATAACTAATCAAGGGCCATAACTCTGAGTTAAAGGGTCTGACCGGAACAAGCCGACGATATGCGCATCTCCTCTTGATATTGATGATTCCCATAAAGTTTCGTTGAATTCCAGCCAGTAGTTGCAGAGAACTACTCCGGAAACGATTTTTACTCTATATGCATATTGCATAACTAATCAAGGGCCATAACTCTGAGTTAAAGTGTCTGACCGGGACAAGCCGACGATATGCGCATCTCCTCTTGGTATTGAAGGTTCCCATAAAGTTTCGTTGAATTCCAGCCAGTAGTTGCAGAGAAGTAGCGCGGAAACGATTTTTAATCCATATGCATACTGCATAACTAATCAAGGGCCATAACTCTGAGTTAAAGTGTCTGACCGGAACAAGCCGACGATATGCGCATCTCCTCTTGGTATTGATGATTCCCATAAAGTTTCGTTGAATTCCAGCCAGTAGTTGCAGAGAACTACTCCGGAAACGATTTTTACTCTATATACATACTACATAACTAATCAAGGGCCATAACTCTGAGTTAAAGGGTCGGACCGGAACAAGCCGACGATATGCGCATCTCCTCTTGATATTGATGATTCCCATAAAGTTTCGTTGAATTCCAGCCAGTAGTTGCAGAGAACTACTCCGGAAACGATTTTTACTCTATATACATACTACATAACTAATCAAGGGCCATAACTCTGAGTTAAAGGGTCGGACCGGAACAAGCCGACTATATGCGCATCTCCTCTTGATATTGACCATTCCCATAAAGTTTCGTTGAATTCTAGCCAGTAGTTGCAGAGAACTACTCCGGAAACGAAATTCGGACGGACGGATGGACGGACGGACGGACAATGCCAAAACTATATCCCCCTCCCGATTCCATCGGCGGGGGATAATAAGTACAAAATGGAATATAATTCTGGCACAGTTTAATAATTATTAACCTTTAACTACCACCCTAATCATATTGTAATAAAATCAATCATTAACAAAAATCATTTGCTTGTCTGTAATGGTATTGTTAGGCAGATTTTCAATACACTGTGACAAGTGTTCCTAAATTTGGCACCTCGCCATGCCTGAAAAGGCAGATGGACCCTCATTAAACATATATTACACACATGATTTGGCACCAAAGTTGACCTGTTTCAATTTTGTTGGAAGTAATTACTAACTTTCTCACACATACATTTTATGAAACAGTGACAGAAGAAAAATGACATAAGGACAATAAATGATACACTCCTTGTCCTTAACCAAACTGACAAGCCAATTATGTCCTACATTCATTGGACATAACATTCTGACCTAATGGGCCTAGCAGAATACTTGTCAAAAGACATTTGTCTGGTGTCTGCATAAAGGACAAAAAGACTGTTCCTCTCTACTTATTGATAACTTTTTTTAAACAATCAAAAATATCAGACTTTGATGAAACACTGGAAACAAACATTTCTTCAGCTCAAAGGCTCATGCGCTGTGTTTAATTTTATAAGAAGAGATCAAGTTCACAAAGGTTCCTCAAACATTTCTTGCTTTGATCCATTTCTTGTCTAAATACTGGGATTCTCAATATGAGATAAAATAATGCCTTTGTAATGTAAATAACATTCTAAATAATAGAATATGCATACACAGATATAGAGGATCGGGAGAGTGGGGAGAGAAGTCATGACCCCACTGCTGGGATTTAGCTAGTATGTTGAACCCCTCTGTAATTTGGATATCAATTTACATTTTTTAGTGAAAAAAAGGTGTATATTGGGAAAATTTAGATTCATTACCCCAATCCCCCCCACACCCTTCACCTCCATGGAAAATCAGTAAAATGTCAACACCCTCTGGAATATGTGTTACCTGCATTTTCATAAAATAGATCTGCTGTGCCCGATATGGAATAATATACTCCTTTAATTTCTAGTTTACAATCATAAGAATGATACATCTACATTATTAACTTGAATCATACAAAATAAAATAGTTCAACTTTCTAACCAAAGAGATTATTTTCTTGATGCATTCTTGTGTTACAACAATATCATTTAAATTACAAATATATTTTATACAGGATTTAACTAGAATAATTTCATTGAAATTAAGGTATTATGTCACCTATTACATGTATTATAGTATATCATACACCATCAACTTTATCAACTTTCATATCTGATGTTTATAATTCAATCAGTTAATTGACAAGGTTTTTTGTCACCCCTGACCCCACATTTGACATACATAGGCATAATATGCAGAATACTCATAAAGACTTTTAAGTATGCAGAATTTCATAAAATATACAGAAAATTTATAAAATAAATGCTAAATATTCATAAGTTTATGGATGTTATACATGCATTTAAATATGTTAATCAACCAAAGTAAAATTATAATGTACAAGATATAATTTCAAGACAATTTTTTCTGGCTGATTTTACTTGACTTTTTCTGGTTTCTTCATGATAACAACACGACTAGTTCTCTTCTCATCTACAGATCTAAAAATAGAATTAATGAAAATTGTCAATGAATCTATAAATAGAACAAAAATCAGTTGAATGAAGAATTTTAGCAGTTATCTGTTATACCCTCTAAGATTCTTTTACTGTTTTTCAAACAAGTATGGAATAATTCTCAAAATAAAACAAGAGGGCCATGATGACCCTGAGGTCGCTCACCTGTATATAGGCCCCCGGAGCGGGGCCAGTTTAAACCCCAGGGCTTTTATTTGAACAAACTTGGAAGACACCCATAAGAAGATGTTTCATGATGTTAAGTTTTTACTACAAACATATAATGAAAAACAATGATCTGCCCCCTCCCCCACCCCCGGCAGGGCCAATTTTAACCCAAGGGCTTTTATTTGAACAAACTTGGTAGACACCCATAAGAAGATGTTTCATGCTAAACATCTAAGCTGTAGCTCATTGGGTTTTTTAAAAAAAGATTTTTTAAGTTTTTACTCTACACATATAGTTAAAAACAATGACACACCTGGGGCGGGGCCAGTTTTGACCCCAGGGCTTTTATTTGAACAACTTTTGTAGACACTTACTAGAACATGTTTCATGCTTAATATCTAAACTCTAGCTATTTGGGTTTTTTCAAAGAAAATTTTTAAGTTTTTGCTATACACATATAAGGAAAATCATTGACCCCCCGGGCAGGGTCAATTTTGACCCCAGGGCTTTTATTTGAACAAACTTTGTAGACACTTACTAGAACATGTTTCATGCTTAATATCTAAACTCTAGCTATTTGGGGTTTTTTTTCAAAGAAGATTTTTAAGTTTTTGCTATACACATATAAGGAAAATCAATGACCCCCGGATCGGACCAATTTTGACCCCAGGGCTTTTATTTGAACAAACTTGGTAGACACTCATTAGAAGATGTTTCATGCTAAATATCTTAGCTCTAGCTCTTTTAGTTCTTTAAAAGAAGATTTTTTAAGATTTTACTATATGCATATAGAGAAAATCAATGACCCCTTGGGGCAGGGCCAATTTTGACCCCAGGGCATTTATTTGAACAAACATTGTAGACACTCACTAGAAGATGTTTTATGCCAAATATCTAAGCTCTAGCTCTTTGGGTTTTTTAAAAGAAGATATTTAAAGTTTTTTCTTTCGGTTGCCATGGCAACCAGAGTTCTGCATGGAATAAATTTCTTTGAACAATTTTTAAAGGTGACCACCAAAGGAACATTCCTGTGAAGTTTGGATGAAATTGGCTTAGTGGTTTATGAGGAGATGTCATTTAAAGTAAAAGTTTACGGACGGACGGATGGACGCTGGACGGACAGACGCCGGACGAAAAGCGATCACAAAAGCTCACCCTGTCACTTTGTGACTTTGTGACAGGTGAGCTAAAAAGAATGTGTTTGGTAAACACAAATGACTCCCCACCACCCCTCCCCCTGCCCAGATTCTTGACAATGTTTTTCAAAAAAAGGTTTACCCATTCACTCAATTATGGACAAAAATGTCAAAAAATCCTTCAATGCATTACAAAGATTTAAGATTACAAAGTTACAGTTTGGACATAAATCTTTTTGTAAGTGGGAAGGCACAGACAGGCGAATCGGTGCAATTTTAATATGCTGCCGTTGGGGGCATAAAAGGAATTGCTAAAAAGGGAAGAAAATGTCTCGAGTCTTGACATTCTCAACAAACTGTCTGAGAAAAGAAGAACCATGCCCAGGACTTGAATCTGATCTAAACTTAAAATATTATTATCCATGTAAACAGAAGAACTTACTTGGTACAGAGGTAGATGTCTATATTTGGTATAGTATCAATCTTGTCCGTGTATCGAGTCCAAGTGTTTCCTTTATCTGTACTGTAGAATATAGGTAGACCAGGGTAGGCACTGTTAAACTCTAGTTTATTCTCTGCTGCCCTACAAGTTAAATGTTATATTTTGATATGTCATGAATATGATATACAAATGTACTGCTAGATCATTATTATTTGTGAGGCACACTAATTTTAGTGACTTTCTGTGGATATGTAAATTCTTGAATTTGAGATATGATAAAATTTCATCTGTTGTAAGAATATTTTGCATAACATTATTTTCATTTTACTTTTTCCAAAAATAGACAAACCACAAATCTAAGCAAAAACGAAATTTATTGCTTTTATATGAGTTTAAGGTGAATCTTAAAAAACAAATATAAAACTGTTACTGAATGTCATACAAGCAGTGAGCTCCTGGGGGTGGGAGATGGTATGCCACGCCCATTGTGTCCAACCTTGCCAGCTCCTTACAACCTAACTGGCTAGCAAAGTATGACCAATCCTTGAACTGTTGATCAGTCATCTTTTCCTTGTCAGGTTCCAGCTCCCAGTCAGCTTTATGCCAAGCCCTCTCAGCCACACACAGAAGGCGTGGAAATATCATTGAATCCATTTGGTCCCATGTACGCACTAGCTCAGTCCATAATTGAGCTTGAATACCTGTATGAAAGAAAGTCTTTGGTACAACTATAACATAAAATATCTGACAAATATGCATTAAGAGTTGAAAATCATATGCTAACTGTCCTTATGGAGACAGACAGCTATTAACACAACTTAATTTTTACTTTTCCTAATAATCAATTGGGATAATTTATTGCCATACACAAAGTCCCTACCATGTTACATAAAACACAACTTATTTCTTTGAAAGCTTTTTTTCAGACAGTGAAAAGTGACCACAGTGTGCTCCCCTTATTAAATGGGGTGCATAAAAATAAGATGCATGTTTTTACTTGATATTTATACCCAAACTGTACAGCTTAAAAGTTTTACCATTCTCTTCTATTTTGTTTTTATGCTTTTCTTTGGTATAGCACAAACATAGCAGTATCTTTATGAACATGTATAGTTCTCTGATCTGTACAAGCAGTATCATGATTTACATCTTTTTTTAACCCAAATTACCAAAATTATGCCAATCTTTTAATATGAACATTATTTGAAACAGCAGTGAAGATAGAACAGCAACAGTCAAGCATGTGCCTTGTCTCGACCTCAAACTCATACTTCTAATGCTCTGGCTATGGAGTAAATTAATTATGCAGGTTAGATGCTATGGTTTGAAAGAGTTCTACCATACCTATAACATTCTCTGGTTTCTTTAAATCATCATGATCCTCCTTATGTCGTTTGATATAATCTTTCGACAATTTTTCTCCTGTAAGCTTCACATCTGCGTTGGCGTAGATATTGTCTGGCATGAATGTAAAAGTCTTTCGAGAATCACAGAACCTACAGGCCCAGTATAATCCTCTCTCTTCCGGGTCGGGTTCATATGGGTGGTCAAAATAAAGATGGGTTCCCTGTGACATCACAACCTTCCAAAACAAACATGTTCATTCTTAATAAATACAAAACTTAAATCTGCCTTTTCAACAATTAAAGAGACAACTACTTATTCCAAAAGACACAATGCTCTAACACTTAATCTAAAACAAGTATAGACATATGCATAGGTTAAACAGAGGATATTAAATGAGTATGGATCTAGTACTAAATTTATTGAACGAGTTGTATAAAATCATATTATGTGAACCACTGGCGAGCATATATTGTTTTAATCAACCGGTTCAATTAATTTAGTATTGAATCCACACAAATATGATATTCTATTTATCACATATCAAAAATAGGAATGATTTACAGTTAAAAAGATTCATTTTTCTTTGACATGCCTGCAGTGTAACACTTAGTTTAGGGTGCTTTAACGCTATGTTTGTATATTACAAAAATGACGTCACATGAAATAGTTATGATACTAGTGTAATAATGGATTTATTACACTCCTGCCCTGCAGTTTATGTGATAAGTTAACTTATATAATAGGGAAGAGCAAAAAAAAAAGAGAGTCATGAACAAAAACTGATTGAATTTTTGGTTATATCTACGGCTATAAACTTAATTTTGTTATCTGCTCAGTAAAGGAATTAAAACTAAGTTACATAGCTGTGTATCCCAATTAATATCCAAATCCTAAATTAAAGCTTACTATTTCAAATAACTCAAAAACTTTAAGAAATGTGTAATTTTAAAGGTATACCTTGTATCCACTGTTGGCTAGCCTATAGGCACATCCAGACAGGCCCGACTCCCACACATTCTGCCATGCATATACATACACATTCTTACTCTTGAATTTGTGTCTGATGAAAATAGAAAAATCAGAAAAATTACAATCAAAACAAAAATTTACTAATATCAACAATTTCATCATAAAATAAGACACTTTGCAATATACACAATTTTGATATTCAGAGTCAACCATCTTTTCCTTACCTACATGTACTCCTTTTATATGTAAATTCTTAAACTGAAGGCAAAGGAGGACTAAGAGAAACAAAATGTAAAATTCATACATTTCGTAATTATGGCTGAAAAATTCTATGTCAAGAGTTCCTCAATTATCTAGGATTAAAATGTCAAGATAGCCTTTACAGTTTTATTGCATATTTTTTGTTAAGGTTACATACTTGGGAATAAATCAGTGAACAATGACTATAAAGTAATATATATTACAGTACACATCAACTGACTTTATCTTTAATTTCTTATACATGTATCATAAAAACAAAAATAATACCACAATATTCTGTAGTCAACTTTAGTCAAAATACCTGGCTATAGGTTTTAAGTCTGACTCGTCAGGTATGATACCATCTTGCCAAGCGCCAACGTCTAAGTCATTCTTAGCTACAATATCTGCCACTCGTGAAACAAAATATTCCATCAAATCTTCGGACGACTTAACTTCATCTGCATCGATCAGACTCATGCATGCTGGCGATCCCTCCCACGCCTCATACGGCACCTCATCTCCACCAAAGTGAAACACGCGTAAAGGCATTATATCTTTATGCATCTCCTTGACTTCAATAACAATCTTATTCACAAATTTGTATGTTGACTCCATCCCAGGGTTCATAGCGTTTTCGGAATACATTTGAACAGAGTGCGAGCCTGATGATATATCGTGATCTAAGTCAGATAATAAATATTCATTAGCTTTTTGCTTGTCTTTTACTGCCATATACTTCTGGTGCCTGGCTTTCATTGACCTGATGGCAGCATGACTGTGTCCAGGCATGTCGATTTCAGGAATTACCTCTATGTGTCGTTGTTTTGCGTAGCGCAGTATTTCGCGATATTCTTCCACGGAGTAATATCCAGAACCGGAGGTATCGAACCCAGGTCCAGACCCGAGGAGTGGTAGTAATGATGATAAATCTGTTGTGTTCACATGTCCACGCCGGGCTCCAACCTGATAAAGAGAATTTTCATACAACTATTTCATGTAAATGTTAAAACTAAATCAGTCTATTTAAATGAAGATAAATTTACTCCAACTTCATATTTTTCTAAGGCGAAATAGTGAATATATTCTGATAAAAAATAGTAAAAGAATTTTTTTTTTCTCAACCTCATAAACATTCTTTAAACTATATCCTACTACTGGACTAGAAACTGCAGGATTATAAAAAAAACAACACACCTTTCCCCGAGGACACCTAAGGCATTTTGAAAATAATCAAAATTTACCATTAAATACTCTATGGCAAAGGGAGACATTTTACAAGATATAACACTTTTAACAGAAAGAATGAAGGTAGATATCAAACTACACAAACAAATAATAACTGCATAAAACTTAAAATTAAGCTTTTCTGAGCTCTTTGATGCATGGTTTGTGCATATACATGTATTCTATTTTCAAATATTTTGGTATCAAATACTGCCACCCTAGTTAGTTTATACTAATTTATTTTTGTTTGATTGAGTTGGAAGCTATAAGCTTATTGAAACACTCTCAAATCCATTTCTGGGAACCAACCAGTACTAAGCAATAAGTGTATAGTTTCTGCCACCAGAACAAAACCATGTATGGGAATGTGTCAACAATGACTTTTTACTCAATTAATGAGTCGTGTGATACTTAATATCTGTTTGCTAATTGAAATTCTTCAGGAAACATTGAACATTACCTGGGTCAACTCCTCCAGTCCAGGAATCTCTAATCTCCATCCCTCGTCGTCTGTCAGATGAAAATGAAATTTGTTCATCTTGTACATCGCCATGACGTCAAGCAGTTTCATAATCTGTTCCTTAGTGTGAAAATTCCGCGACACATCCATATGCATTCCTCTATACAGGTATCGCGGGCAGTCTTCAATATCACACTCGGGTATCTTATTGTCTTGTAGAAGGCTTAATAAAGTCTGAATACCATAGAATATGCCTGCATTGGAGACAGCTGTTATTGTTATATCTTGATCTTTACTGACAGTAAGTTTATATGAGTCATTGTCAGCAGCTTTGTCCTT